TTCTACTCCATTTTGTTTGTTATCTATAATTTACATTTTTCGGTTCGGAAGGACGTGAAACGGACGACGTGAGTGCCACTAGAAGGTGCGGAAAATCTGTGATGCGTCTAGCCCCACTGCACTTTCTCTCTTGTACCCTTCCACGTGTGCCATTCGCAAATGCTAGATGCGCGCTGTGGAGCGCGCTTCCGACGCGTTCGAAAAAATTCTCCACGCGCTGATCCTCTTCGGTGTTGCCGCCTCCAAGTGGCAGAGGGCGCCACTATCTCTGCGCCGGAGACGCGGCGGCACGCACCGCCGTCAGTTGTGTTCGTGAGTTCCGAGTGTGCTTGTCGTTCGGTCGGACACGTTGTGGGCTGAGCTGTGTGCAGTTAGTTGGCTGTATTTTCGAGTTGACAGAGTGAGGTGTGACGCATTTGGACCAGAGCTTGGCTAGAGAGCGATAGATAAACCGATAGCGCAGATAATTAAGCTTTAGCTGTAATTTCTTTACATTTATTATGACCGCCGAAAAAAAACACCATAGGAACGTTAAGAACGTGCTTGGTTTGTTCGTTTATGCTTTGGTTTCAAAGTGCATAATAAGAATGATGATAATGATGATCATGATGACGATAATGATAATAACGTGTATATTTGTAAAGGCGATTGGAATTTTCTCACTTATGTACGTGTACGTGACATGGGCGCGCTTCATATCATGACTTAGGATATTCGGCTGAAGGTATATAACCAGGAGTCCATTATCGCGCTAATGGTCCCTTGGCATAACGCGTCTGCTCTCCATTTATGTGCGGAGCCGTCGTATGCGAGTTGTCACTTGCATTATCTTCACGGTATGCTAAAAACTGCGGCGGTGAAACGGCGGTGAACGAGGTGGAATGATCCGACATAAAAAGGCATTACGTACGTTGACATATATTTACGCGCTAGGCACCGGTCCGTGATATGATCGTGGAATTGTGAACAGCTTGGCTATGTATGAACGTTTTTTTGTAGGTGCGCTATTATGCATACCATGCTTGATTATTGATGTCATATGTTTAGTTTTGTTGCTTATTTTCTTTGGCTTCTTCAGTAAATGCGAATGAATGTCAAGGAGAAATGCAGAGTGTGTACATGTGTGTGTGTGTGTAAGAGATCAGAACTAATTACGTACCCTAATGAGAGATTGGGCAAGCGCGCGCGAGAGAGAGAGAGTGTGTGTGTGTGTGTGCGCGCGCGCGTGCGTGCGTGCGTGAGTGTGTTCGAGTGGGATAGGAGGGAGAAGGTGTGTGCGCATGCGTGTGAGAGAGATAGACGAATAAACGGTGTACTGGGTATGAAATTTTGTATAAAATAGTTGGCGTAAGGTTACGTGTATTATGTAAAGTCTATGTAATAATTAAATTGCTGTTAAACGTCACTAGACATTGTTACGACGCCCTGTCGCCCACGGCAATGCCGCCAAGACCTCCCTACCTTGTCACCAGAGGTCCAAATCGCGACACAGGGGTGACCTGTGTACTACATGCTGCTATTTTTCATAGCTTAATTATCTCGATAGGAAATTCCCACGAGGCCAGAAAAAATCCCCTGTTTTTTGTTTTGCCGACCTTTGGTGTGGACGTTTGTTGGATAGCGTAGATGGGCGACAGTGTGGGCGTCATTGTTTCCCGCCACCTGCGCGTGCGATCGTCTGCACGCGTTCGCGCGCCTGCGTGCGAGCCACAGGCACTTGGAACGTCTCAATAAGAAAAGAGTTCTCTATTATTCTTGTTGTTTGTGCACAGGGCGTGCGTGCGGTGTACTTGTGTGTTGCATATGAGCATTTGAACGGCATTTACAGCAAGTTATCGACAATAATAGGCGAAATCGAGTAGAGAAACATTAAGACTTTCGTAGTAAATACTTTTCGTGTTTATTCACCTTTCTTCTTCTTTTTTTGAGACGTTCCAAGTGCCTGTGAGTGTGGGTGTCACTGTTTCTCGCGCGTTTCTCGCCACCTGCGCGTGCGATCGTCTGCGTGAGAGCGGCTTGCCTCTGCCGGGGGTTATCGCTTGAGGTTTGATAGAGAGGCGCGGTATAGTAAAGCTGTAGGAGATACCTGCTGAGCGGCTCTGCCTGTCTATGGGTGTGTGTACCGAGAGAGTCGTCTATGGCACGCAGCCACGTGCGTAGCCTGTACTTGATGCCGTAACATCGGAGCACGTCCATCTGTTTTGGAATCATAATGTACAACCCTGCGTATTTAGCTCCCATATCTATGCAGGAATACGCTATGGTGTGTTGTCCATCTGTGCAAACAGCGTATTCACCTTGCGGAAAGTCGGGAGAAGTGTGGAACGTAAGATTAGGCCAGTAGACCGCCCCATCTGCGTCAGAACCACCGAGGCTGTCGGCCCATGAAATAACCTACACTTTGTCAAATAGCATAATACCAGGGAGGCATATGTAATTCACGTTTTTTTATCACAGGAATTTTTGGGGGTTGAGAGGCGTTATTATAGGCACTGACTGCTCTACGGTGCTGTAAGCATCGGTTTCATTCTGCTCGATGTAAGAACAATGACCAGCGTCATGACGAATCCTAAACTGTTTTCTTTGGTGTTCGCGTGCGTACCGCATATACATATATATATATATATATATATATATATATATATACATATGAGGAGAGATGATAATACTTGTAATAAGCATTATCCTCTCTCTTTGTGTTTGTGTGTGTGTGTATATATATATATATATATATATATATATATAATATCAAGAGCGTACAAAGAAGGTTATGAATATAATTATATACGGTACAATCGCGTTCGTTACAAGTTATTGTGCAAGTATACTGACATCCCGAGTCGACCAAGCCACAAATTAAATTACCTTCTCGCTTCTCACTACGTGGCCTACGTGGTCCTGCGGCGTGTAACAGTCGCAGAGCCTGGTCTGGCTAGAGGTAGCTCTAGTGCTATAAACCGCGTACAACTGCCGCAGGCCTGCGGCAACTGTACGCGGGCTATAGTACAAGAGCTAGGCTAGAGGCGACTCGGTGTCGCCCTGCCCACGGGGGCACGGTATGAAGATGCATTAATACCTCAATATTATCAGGAGTAGATAATAGGAAATCCCCTATCAGGAATAGGGAATCACGATTATCTACTCCTGATATTATACTTCTCTATTCAACCGATGCTAAGCAGCAGCGTGGGGTTAGCGCGTTGAGCAGCTGTCGTAGACTTCATCTTCGTACCTGTGTAGTTATGTTATAGTAGAGTCTGCCGTACGTGCACTCGCCCCTTCTGCTGGTGTGCGGCATTGCATATATAGTTGAGCGTTGGCGAGTGTGAGTGAACCGACCGCTAGCTGGCGCTGCCCTCGCCGCCTGGGGCCAGCATGAATCAGGGTGTTGAAAGCGCCCCATGTGAATATTGCTTATTGAGACAAATAAACGACTGTATTATAAAACGGCTGCGTGTACGTGTAATAATATATTCGCAACGCTGGCTAGCGGCGGGAGAAGTGGGGCATGCTGCATACCGTTAGCGTTATTCCCTAGCAAATATTTAGAATCAATGAGGATGTGGTGATGGTGGGGGGGGGGGTGAATATGAAAAGCCTCACGTGACGGGAGCGTGTTCGCCAGGTAGGAACGCATAGGGCAGGGGCGTGTACAGGATTTGTACCAGGGGGTGGTCTAACCGTAACCCAAACTTGCGAGCACGCGAAGGGGGGGACTGGGGCCCTCCCCCCGAAATTTTTTGAAATTAGACCCCCTTAGATGCGTTTTCTGCGCGAGCAGGGGGGAGGGGTCGGGACCCCCTGGACCCTCCCCCTGTACACGCCCCTGTAGGGGTGGGGGCGTCTCTGCTGTACAGGGAGAGTTAGCTGTGAATACCACTAGTGTGTGTGTGTAGCTACATTGCTGCGCATTTATAGCGAGAGAATGGCTAATCTAGTTGCCAAACAAGGAATATTTGCGATTATGATTCGGGGCAGCATGCAGCCTGTACGTCGTATTCCAGTGTAAGGAGATAACTACATTATTTACTGCATTAAATATCGTTCATTTAGTCAAGTCAATACTATATATATATATATATTATATATATTGTAATGCATGGTATCCTCCACATCGGAACGTGCGACACATCTCAAATCTCAAAGGAATAGTATGGCGGATGACCACCAGGTGGCTTGGTGATCGCTTTTACCAGAGCCTCTGCTTTTACGGCAAGTGCTTTCGTCCCGATGCATGTGCGTACGTGCGCGCGTGCTTGCGTGCATATTTGAATAAAATAGGGTACTTACTTGTTTATATTGTTTATAAAAGAGTAACTGTGAAATTTAACCAACGATACATTTAGAAAGTACGCCGAAGTCGTGGAGTAACTGTATACATAATAATATTTTATTCTCTTCGTGAAGATCAAGGATAATTACATGTAAAGTATGAGCACGAGGTTAAGTTCAGCTGAAGGTGTAGCTATATCATTAAACGATCATTAAATGTAAAAATATATTTAATTAAAATAGTCGATTTCAAACAGAGTGGAGAAGACCTGCTCTGCCCAAGCTATCCAGTCAACACTACGCACGCACACGCTCGTCTCTTTCTCGCCTAACGTCGCGGATGCAGTCACGACAACAACCCTCAACATTTATCACGAACGTTCCCGCTTTTTAAACGATTTTCTTTCATATTTTTATTACAAAGCTTAGAGGGGGAGTAGTGGTGTTGCAGGATAGATGCTTACTGATCTGAACACAGTAGAAGCTAGAACAAGATCACAATAAACCAGGCCAAGGTGGTATTGGCAGCAGTGACTTTACACCAATTTCACCGGCACGGGGCCACACACTCATGTTCACAATCACTCACGCGCACACTATGCTCACAAAAAATTATACACACAGCGAACAACGGTTCCACCCTCCTCGACTGGCAACCGAAATCCTATATCTAGTCTTGAAAATGAGTTGGGAAAGAGTTAAATTGTAAATGTTCCAGCAGATGTCACCAGCGAGCATTTGCCGTAGCTTGCGTTCACCTTCGCAGTGGCTTGTACAGAAAATACATCTACGCATAGCTCACGCAGACACGCAGACACGCAGACACGCACACACACGCGCACGCACACACACACACACACACACACACACACACACCCATACGCACGCACACGCACATCTAAATGCACTGCACCAGCTGTTTGTACAGAACAACATTCAAACGATAACAAAAACAACAACTACTTTCACAGGATATATATATATATATGTATATATGTTGTATACAAGAGAGATAGGCGCACCATGTACTGAATACGGCGGTTGGCTCTCTACAACATAATAACAAAAAACACAATTACTCTCCACACCCAAATCACGGCTACACGAACGAACGACGGGAACATGCTAATAGCTAGCACATCGCTCGCTCACAGACGATCACGGCATTGCAAAGCAATCTAGACCGAGCAGCCACTTACACTAAACTTAACGTGACCTGAACGGCAGCATTGGGCAATGCAGTGATCAGTGCACCGCTGAGGCACGAAGATACATAACAATTTTTCGCTGTGCGACTCGTAAATAATTCGCTAATCAGCTAAACGTTCGTACGAAAAAAAACAAAAACAATGGCGAGCTCCGAATTTTCGTCCGGAATTGACAGGAGGCACGCGAGTCGTCGAGTGGCGCCACCTGACGGTCGTCGTAGCTCTACGCGCGTGCCTGCACGGTACCTATGCCTCCACGGCGCGCGTTCTCACGCTCTCGACGGCTACCGTGGCGCTACGTGATGCATCGCGGCGATCATTGCAGTGTAGGTGTGTGCGGGGGACCTAAGATCTCCACTGTTGAATGTGAGACCGCAAGAGGAAAACCAGAGCCAAGGTACCAGCCTAAGCAATCGCTAACCTTGTGCCTTTGTACAAACAGGTCCTCTTCCCGGAGGGTCTTGCTGCAAGGAGTCATCGGAGTTTCCTACGTGGACCGACTTGGTGGAAGGTCGGCGGGGTGGGGGGAAGGCAACACTTCTGGGCGGTGGGACGTGCCACGCTCGCGAATTTCCACCAGGGGGCAGCAGGAAACGCCCGACGACATCCGCGAGCATTTGCCGCAACGATCACAACTGCTTGTCGAGAGACGCTCTCGCGCGAACTCACTAGCCCCGCGGAAAACATCTCCCGCGCGACACTCGAGGATTCACCGATCACAGGATGCCACTGTCACGAAACAAACGAACGCTCCAAGCCGATCCCCGGTCCCTCTCTCTCTCTCGCTCGCTCGACGGCGCGCGATCAGAGGAACGGGTTGGTACTGAGGGACTGCCCTCCTCCGCCCGCTGCCGTGCCAACAGGAAGCAGGGGAGCCGGAAGCACACTGGGATTCTGCTGTTGCTGCTGCTGCTGCGCTGTGAAGCTCAACGCCACGGGATCCCGCATCATCTGCAACGCGACCGCACGATCGATTAGTGTCGATTCCGGAAAACCATTCTCGGTCTGCCCCCCTGTGCCGCGATAACATCAACGCAGGGTCAATGGTGTTTATTTTATTTTTTAAGACTGACGTCGCGCTTCCACGTTGCATGCTCCGCGTGACACGGATCCGCTTCCCCTGCAGTTACAGATGGCAGTCTAGCTCAACTGAGCGATCACCTTTCAGCGAAACGGAAGTTCCGTACGAATTAAATCAATTAAAAATCTATAATTTAATACATTGATTAACGCACACGCATTGCACTTACCCTGTTCATCGGAACCTTCTGCTGCTGCTGCTGGGCTTGGAAGGGGTTGCTTGTCAACGGTGCAGGGGGCGCCGCAAACGGATTAGTCGAGGCGCCTGCAATGACAACCGCAGTCATGGACAGATCCTCGTTATACAACGTAAAGCCCCCTCCCCCAAAAAAAACACCCACGACTAAAGATGCGGCGCCAATTCCACATTTTGCAAAAAAACAACATTCGCCTCGTGGAATTACGCAAGAATACCTTTCTCGGCATCACTCCCACTCGCCGTTTCATCAACGCTCATTCACTTCTAAACCGTGAATATACCACCGCCGCAAATCTCGCTTCGACGAACCCGCAACACGACCGTCCGAGCGAGCGCCCGCCCCCGCCGGACACTACACGACGACGGGAACGTGCGCGCGCGCGCGAGATCCCGCGAGAAGAAGAGAGCGACCGCGCGCCGTTTTCCTCTCCGATCCTCCGAGGAACATAACCGGCGGAGGATCAGAGGAGCGGGAACGCGAGACGCTCACCGGCGGCGTCGGGGCCGGTGACGAGCGCGTCCAGGTTGACGAGCGACGTGTGCGCTCCGAGGAAGCTCTCCGGCGTCTTAGAGCGCGCCTCGAGCGCCGGCGACTTGCCATGGCCTCCGCCGACGCCGCCGAGGCTCTGCTCCATGCCGCCCATGTCCCACATGTCCGCACCTACGAGACGAGGCGAGAGTTACCGTTAGGGGCGACACGAACGCGGGTCGATTGTCTACGAAGGGATCGCTTACGGGAAA